ACAGAACCAAAGACAAACACCACATGATTATCTCAATAGATGCAGAAAAGGCCTTTGACAAAATTCAACAGTCCTTCATGCTAAAAACTCTCAATAAATTCGGTATTGACGGAACATATCTCAAAATAATAAGAGCTATTTATGACAAACCCACAGCCAATATCATACTGAATGGATAAAAACTGAATAAAAGTATTCTATTATGAGTTAGATCCATTAAGAGAGTCAACTTTTAATGACATACTACTCATTTCATCATATCCTAATTTATTTAACGTCCCCAAACTCCAGATGAACTCTAATTGAGTCTTTGGAGACAGAAGTACGGATTTCTGTGCTGGTGTGAGGGAGGTGTCTCAAAGGGCTGTTGAGGAAATACATACATTGAGTGCAACGAGGACACATTACACACCAGAAGAGAGGGAAAGGTGTCACTTCCAAGAGCTGGTCTTCCAAACCAAGGGTAAGCACCTGGGATCAGGGGCAACTAGGAAGTCTGGCCGCTCTCTGACCTCAGCTGCAAATCAGAAGGGGGATACAGAATCTGGCATGACTGTCAAAGGATTTACTGCTGCGCCACACATGCACACAGGTGCACGTGCAGACTCCCTAGTGCATCAAATTCCATTCAGTGATACATCCTACTCTCACCTAGAATTTGAAACTCAGTCTTATATCTATGCTGGACCATCATATATTCACTTACACGGTGAAGAAATCAAGAGAGCAAAAAAAAAAATGTGACTTGCTTTTCTGACTCCAGTGATTGTGCTACTCTAAACTACTAGTGTATGGCATTTTCACTTCTTGGTAGTAATTTTCAGGTGCCAGGAAGGCACATTCCTACCAAAGAGTTTTTCTTGCTCCAGTGAAGGGAGCAGAGTCCTGGGCTGCTGCAGGGGAAGGTGCATCTTGATAGGCCATTCTATAGGAGATTCTTTAGCACGATTGAGACATTTTCTGTGCCTTTTATTTCACATTCACAGATATTTGGTAACTTGTTTCAAATTCAAGATGGACTTGAGGTCTTGGAAGTGAGCCTTCTCTTTCATTTACTCTTCTTTCTTATTTTGATACAGTACACTGTGCTGGGAAAGTCCACTTGAGGATAGATCTTGTTCTGAATATTTTGAACCAGGTTAGAAATAGACAGTAGTGGCCGGGCATGGTGGTTCAAGCCTGTGATCTTAGCACTTTGGGAGGCCGAGGAGGGCAGATCACGGAGGTGAGGAGTTCAAGAGCAGCCTGGCCAACATAGTGAAACCCTGTCTCTACTAAAAATCCAAAATATTAGCTAGGCATGGTGGTGGGTGTCTGTAATCCCAGCTACTTGGGAGGCTGAGGCAGGAGAATCACTTGAACGTGGGTGGCGGAGGTTACAGTGAGTGGAGACCGTGCCACTGCACTCCAGCCTGAGTGACAGTGTGAGACTCCATCTCAAAGAAAAATAATAAAAGAAATACACAGTACTTTGTTAAACCAGCTTCAAGATATGATGGTAATTAACCAGTTACTCACTCTAGAAATATTTACTGAGTGTGAATTCATTAATAGGAGCTGTTCCTCGTGCTGGGATATAGCAATAAACAAGACAGAGAAATATTTTGCCCTACAGATGTTGCATTCTGGTGAGGAGAAGCAGGCAACACATTTAATAAACAGGAGTTAGAGGATGACAATAGATGAGGGGGATAACACAGGAGAATCGGAGTAATAAGGATAAAGATTGTTGGAGGGAAAGGGGCATGGAATTTAAAAGGAGTGGTTAGCATGTACCTTTGTCAGAAAATGACATTTGAAAGGAACTTGAAGATGAATGAGTGAGCCATGCTAACATCTGGAGAATAGTGTTTCAGGCAGAGGGAACAGACAGTCAAAAATCTTTGATGCTGGGACAGAGATGGCACATTTGAGAAAAAGTGAGAAAGCCTTCAAGACTGGGGCAGAAGGAAGGAGAAGGTCAGTGTGGTGACTGTTAGGAGATAAAGTTCTTTAGGTAAGGGAGAGACAGATTATGGGTTTTAACTTCAAATAAATTGGGAGCCTTTACAGGGTTTTAAAAACAGAAGCAAGTTATTTATGTGTTTAATGGCCTACTCTGGCTGTTGTATTGAAAATATACCACAGGGAACAAGGGTGCAGATGAGTTAGGAGGTGGTGGCACTATTCTTGACAGTAGATCATAGTGGTTTGAACAAGAGTGGTAGCAGTAGAGGTGGGGAGAAGTGGTCAGATTCAGGATACATTTTGAAAGTAGGAAAATCACAACTTTCTGAAAGATGGAAAAGTAGATAAGAAAGAAACAGTGTAGACTGATTCCAAATTTTTGACTTCAGATACTGGAAGAGTGGAATCTTATTAACCAATACAGGGAATGAGCAAATCAATTTTTGGAACTGAAGATTAGGAATTCAACTTTAAACATAGTTAGTTTTAAATATCTATTACTCCTCTTTTATTACAGCATATCAGCACCCAAGCAAACTTAGTCATCTTCCAGTAGCAGAATTTTTTAATCTGAAATCATAACCAGCAAATTAATAGATTTTTGGGAATTTGTGAACCCTTTAAAATTTTGCGTGTTTTTACATATATACATATTCATATTTGCGAATTATCATTGCTGAGTTTATCAAGTTCTCAAAGGTGTTCATGAGTCCAAAATTTTAAAATTAATTATTTGCAGATAAATATATTAAGAAATGCAGTGTTTAGAAAATATGCACAACTTCATAGGACTGTATTTTAAGGACACAAGAACATGTATGCAAATCTTGAGATGAAAAGAAGGGTGCAGTCATCTTCAGCAAATTTAATTTCTCACTTCAACCAAGACAGCGGTAATATCCTGTATATCCCAAGATATGTATGTATATAAGGACTATTAATCTGCTCTGCCACACTGTATTGCAACAAGTGAGGCTATCTGTTGTCTCATGAAAGTTTTTCTTTTTCTTTCTTTTTTTTTTTTGTGTGTGTTTCAAGACAGAGCATCTCTCTGTCACCCATGTTGGAGTGCAATGGTGCAATCTCAGCTCACTGCAACCTCTGCCTCTTGGGTTCAAGTGATTCTCCTGCCTCAGCCTCCTGAGTAGCTGGGATTACAGCCGTGTACCACCATGCCTGGCTCATTTTTAGTAGATACACGATTTTGCTATGTTGGTCAGGCTGGTCCTGAACTCCTGGCCTCAACAGATATGCCTGCCTCAGCCTCCCAAAGTGCTGGGATTTACAAGTGTGAGCCACTGCGCCTGGCCCATGATAATTTCTATAAGAGATTTTACCAAATTGGAATCATAGAAGTTTGGCGCTGGGAATAGGATCAACCAAAATTTTCAGATGGGTGAATTGTGTTCCTGGGATGCAGAATTACTTTCGTAAGTTATACAGGTGATTAGTGTCAGGGATATGTACCAAATATTGGAACCCGCAATCCTAAACCCTGTAACTCCTTTGTCAAATTACATGGGAGTAGTTGACAAAAATATCAAATTCTAGGATTTTAGCAAGATACTGAAAGACACCACCATTCTGCCTGAAATTGCTTATTTGTAGAAACTTGGCCTTATTTATTTATGTTTTACAAGCTCAGAGTTTATAATTAAGTCAGATAATTACCCTTCCACTCAGAATAATGACAGTTAAAAATTTGTAGATTGATTTTCTGTCCAGAAAATAGGTTGTTTTCTTAACATTGATGTTTTCTTACCCCTTTCAAGGTAAAAACATGTAGGTTAGGAATTGTTACAATACTTTTCCAAGATTACAGAACCACCAAGTAAGAAGATCTGGTTTTGAACTCAGACACCATATCACTTGGGCAATCCTACCTATGCCAGGCCTGTCTTTTCTCACCTGGGCTTGCTCATGTCTGTGGGTAGCTCTTAGCACCACTGTAGACTGGATCATATAGAAGGGCCCCACCCGCATGTTTCGGGGACAGCTGGCAGTTAGCTGGGGTGACAGAGTGAGCACAGCCACATGTCTTATCCAGCAAACTAACCCAGGCTTATTTACATGGTGGTGGTAGGTAGGATGCTAAAAGTGAGAAGAGAAACATAAAAAGCCTCTTGAAATCCAGGCTTTGAATCCACATGGAGCTGCCTATCTTTCAATCAATTGGCCAAAGCAAACCACCAAGCCATCCAAGACTCAAGGGGTTAAGTATAAGAATTAGAATAGTAACTGGTACATGGTCAAAATGTATTTGTATTTGTAATATAAATAGCAGCTTTAATAATCTAATACTTAATGTAAATACTTGACACATAAGAAGTTTTCAATAACTTATGGAAAGATAGTGAAATTTTTTGAGTGCCCACTAATGGACCCAATATTGGGCTGTGTTATTTTTATGTATGTTTTCTTTATTCAATCAGACAGTCTGTCAAGAAGTTATTAGTCAGCCAGGTACGATGGCGCATGCCTGTAATCCCAGCACTTTGGGAGGCTGAGGTAGGTGGATCACCTGAGGTCAGCAATTTGAGACCAGCCTGGCCAACATGGTGAAACGCCGTCTCTACTGAAAATAAAAAAATTAGTCGGGTGTGGTGCTGGGCGCCTGTAATCCCAACTACTCGGGAGGCTGAGGCAGGAGAATTGCTTAAACCCAGGAGGCAGAGGTTGTAGTGAATGGAGATCATGCCACTGCACTCTAGCCTGGGTGACAGAGTGAGATTCTGTCTCCAAAAAAAAAAAAAAAAAAAAAAAAAAGAAGAAGAAGAGAAAGTAATTAGTTATCCTTGTGAGTTTCATTTTTTTTTCATGTTTTGTGAGCATATGGGACTTGCTCTGCATTAAATAGTTAATAAGCAAAATTCCTAATTTTCAAATTATTTTTGACTCCAATTCCAGTAATTTTTCCAAATCATGGACTGAAGTCCTATAATTCTAGATAGTAAGGGAGAAAAATCTACAAGCTTCTTAGTAATTGTTGCTTTGTAAATTAGTAATAATTGATACCCTTGTTAACTTGTGTCAATACAAAAATCACTAAGTGATGCTTTTTCCTTCTCATGATAGTCAGGCTTTCACCTCTGTGGACATGGACGTGGGAAATCGCACCATCCTGACTGAATTCATCTTGTTGGGTTTCTCAGCAGACCCCCAGTGGCAACCAATTCTATTTGGAATGTTTCTGATGCTCTATTTGATAACCTTGTCGGGAAACATGACCTTGGTTGTCTTAATCCGAATTGATTCCCACTTGCATATGCCTATGTACTTTTTCATTGGTAATCTGTCTTTTTTGGATTTCTGGTATACCTCTGTGTATACCCCCAAAATCCTGGCCATTTGTGTCTCAGAAGATAAGCGCATTTCCTTGGCTGGATGTGGGGCTCAGCTGTTTTTTTCCTGTGTTGTAGCCTACACTGAATGCTATCTCCTGGCAGCCATGGCTTATGACCGCCATGCAGCAATTTGTAACCCATTGCTTTACTCAGGTACCATGTCCACTGCCCTCTGTACTGGGCTTGTTGCTGGCTCCTACATAGGAGGATTTTTGAATGCCATAGCCCATACTGCCAATACATTCTGCCTGCGTTTTTGTGGTAAAAATATCATTGACCACTTTTTCTGTGATGTACCACCATTGGTAAAAATGTCCTGTACAGACACCAGGGTCTATGAAAAAGTTCTCCTTGGTGTGGTGGGCTTCACAGTCCTCTCCAGCATTCTTGCTATCCTGATTTCCTATGTCAACATCCTCTTGGCTATCCTGAGAATCCACTCAGCTTCAGGAAGACGCAAGGCATTCTCCACCTGTGCTTCCCACCTCATCTCAGTCATGCTCTTCTATGGATCATTGTTGTTTATGTATTCAAGGCCTAGTTCCACCTACTCCCTAGAGAGGGACAAAGTAGCTGCTCTGTTCTACACTGTGATCAACCCACTGCTCAACCCTCTCATCTATAGCCTGAGAAACAAAGATATCAAAGAGGCCTTCAGGAAAGCAACACAGACTATACGACCACAAACGTGAAGGTTATTCTCTTTGCAAATGCTGTTATTGAATTTTCCAGATTATTGGCTTATAAATATGTTCGTTTGCATTTCTGTAGTTCATTTAAATTCAATAAGTCATATTTAAGACATTAAAAGATTGACCACATGAGTCTTTAATTGTTATTAGTTTGTTGTGATGTAAGCAAAACAAAGCAATATTTAAAACTTATAGTACTGGGTTGTTTGACATTCTGCAATACGGTATTTTGCCTCGGCAGTATTCAATCTTTCAAAGATTTCATTGTGTTTGCTGCCTTTGGGAAATCTTGGGGAACAAAAGAAATTATGTGGTTTAATGAGTATAGTTTGACTTTGAAGCTTGGTAAGCAATCTTTACTAGGTGACAAGAATATCTGAAAGGGTGAGACTTCTGGAAATATGCTCAAGATTTTACAAATATTTATTTTAAGAAAATCATTTCCTCAAAATTTCTTCAGAAAGCTCTAATTGAGCATATAGGAAGTATCTTTGTAAACCTCATGCCTTCTACGTAAAGAGAGTATTAGGAAGATGTTTAAGAGTTGTTCAGGTTACAAACAACAATGACAATAGCAAAACTATCTCTAAATTAATGAATAAATATGTGTCTTTAGAATTGCATATCATCCTAAAAGAGTGTTCTCTCTTACAAGGAGTGAGTACTCCATAGTACTCTCTCTCAGGTCACACAGCAATGTAACAACATCAAACAAAATGAAACAAATGGACAACAGTAACCACCGCTCCCTAGTTACCTTTCTTTTTCCTTTGTCCTGACCAAAAGACATAAGCTGCATGTTTGCCCCTGGCCTGAACCCAGCCTGGGCCTTGAACATTCCTAAGAACTGATAAACTTGTTTAGGTCGATGCCTGAAATCCTGAAAAATCAAACGTGTTGCTAACCACGTGGAAACGAGCCTTGGCCTTGAGCCCAGTTCCCCAAACCCTGATATAAACTCCGTAACCGAACCCCCTTGTGATGGCAGGTTGAGTTGGTATTTCACTCAGTAGCCTTTAGAAGATGGCAAGTTAAGGATTATTGGTTACAGTTTTCAAATCAGAAGCTTGCGGCTCAGAGGTTAGCACTTTGTTAATGAAAGTTTATAGCATTTGCTGGAATGAGCACATTTACAAAATTAATTAAAATTTAAAAATTTGGGACATACAGTTGTAGCCATTTCATTCGTCTTTGCTGTGACATTTCTCATCTTTCTCTTCAGCTGCATTTATTTTCCAACACATCCTGCCTCTTTCCATCCAAATAATCATAACATTCTTATTCCTCTATGACAAAGGAAGCTGTTTGAGTACTTAACTATAAGGATTTGGGGTGTATCCCACAAATATCAATGATCCATATTATGATTTCTTTTCATCTCCATAATACTATGTAGGAAAAATAATTGGGTCAATATTAGGGGAAATAACAAAGTAAAATTTAGTTTTACTTTAGGATGTCAGAAGTATTACTCTTCCATCTTGCATTAATCGGAGATACTGAATTTTAAAAACTGTATCAATATTCAGTTGAACCTACCATTCTGTAGTATATATTATAGTCTGATATCAAAACCATGAAAAACACACAAGCAAACAAACAAAAATACAAAGAAACAAAATTTTTCCCGTTGAATTTTGTTCAATGGTAAAAAAGAAATAAAAATCTAGTTCTGTAACCTCTCCGAGCAGTTTGTTATCACTTAGCACTGATCTGGGAACTTTATGTCAATTCAGACTTTGGATTATGCTGACCTGAAGAATTTTTTCAGAGCTTCTTTCACGTCTTTATTCCTCAGACTGTAGATCATAGGGTTCAACATGGGGAACAGCACAGTATAAAAGGTAGAAACAATTTTGTCCCTCTCAAGGGAGTAGCTGGAACTTGGTCGAGAGTAGATGTAGAGAATGGAGCCATAGTATAAGGTAACAGAGATCAGGTGGGAGGAGCATGTGGAGAAGGCTTTGAGGCGGCCCTGGGTGGAGCGGATCCTCAGGATGGTGGCGATGATGGAGAGGTAAGAGGCCAGGATGAGCACAATAGGGGAGATGACATTAGAGGCCAGCAGGAAGTGCAGTACAGCCTGGTAGCTCTCTCTCACCCTGCATGCCAGCTTCACCAGGGGTGGGACATCACAGAAAAAGTCATCAATGACATTGTCACCACAAAAATCCAGTGTGAATGTGTTGCTGGTTAATATTATCGCATTGACAAAACCTCCAGTATAGGAATATAAAACCAAACAGATGCACAATCTCCCTGGCATAGCCTGAGCATAAAGCAGGGGCTTGGAGATGGCCACATAGCGGTCGTAAGCCATGGCAGCCAGCAGGTAGCACTCACTATAGGCCAGCCCTGCAGAGAAGAAGAACTGACACAGGCAGCCAGCAAAAGAGATGCTTTTGTCTTCAGAGATGCAGATCACTAGGATCTTTGGGGTGTAGACAGAGGAATACCAGAGATCCAGAAATGACAGATTTCCAATGAAAAAATACATGGGTATGTGGAGGCGGGAGTCATTACAAATCAACATGATGAGGGTGCTATTTCCTACCACAGTCAGAGAGTACACGCCCAGGAATACCACAAACAGGCCCAGCTGCATCCCTGGATCTGTGGTGAAGCCCAGCAGGATGAACTCAGTCACTGTGTGATTGCTCCTCTGCATGGCTTACGGATACTGCACCTACAAATAGAGTAGAAGACAGTTTAATTGCCTCAACCAACACCAAATGATGGCATTTTCTATACTAAGCACCTGCAATAATATAATCAACACTAAGCAGGAATTTTGGCTGCCTTGGGCAGGTGATGGAAGTTTTCTGAGCTTCAATATATTTATTGTAATAAAATTCATTTGATAACAGAAAAGCCTTCATGCTATTGAGAGGTTTATTAATTTTTTCTTGAAAAACAAAATATTTGTTGAGCCCTATGTGCTGTTCCAGACAGTGGGATATAGCAGTGAAGATGATAGGGCTGACTCCTATCCTACTGAGCTTTTATTCTAGACGGGAGAGATACATAAAAAACAAGTAAGTACAGTGTCAATTAATGTTAAATGCTAATAAGAAAATAAAACTAGATGATGGGATAAGAACCAACTAGGAAAGAGCTCGTCTAATTTAGACACTGAGAGAAAAAAAAATTCTTTTCCTGTTCCCAGCGATGGATGGACAAATTGTTCAGAGCCTATGAAAACTGAAACCTTCTAAACATTATGGTTTAGAGGGTGATAACAATGTATTTTTCCACAATCACAGAAAAAATTATCTGCTTAGTTACTCCGCAGGAGTCTTTGGTACATTTATCATGAATTCCAGGGAAGGAATCCGGTTGAGAATTAGGGTGAAGCTTGGGTAAAGACCAATGAGTTTATCTGTTTCTGCCAAGTAAAAAAATGTGTGATTTCTTTATGGGTATTTGGGGTATAAAATGTTGAGACTCAGCATTACTTGTCAGTCTCTATAAGCAGCCCTGGACATGATTCTTAAAAGGACAGTTATCCCAAGTTGATATTGTCTAGAGCAATAGTTCTGAATGCCATAATATTGGAAAAATCTTCTTGTCAAACACACATTTAGAAATGCTTCCTTTAGATTCTTGAAATAATATGTATAGTTGATGTAACCTAAGTATAAACATGTATGTATGTGTATGCAAACTATCCTAAGTCTAATGTAAATAGATGTAAAAGAAAAATAATTCACAATACAAATAATGAAATAATTATAATATAGGTTGTATTATAAAATAATTTGAATTTCAATATATAAATGCTGGATCACTTAGTGAGATATAAATAGTAAAACTGACACATGTAGACTCATCATTAATGTGTTGGTGACTCAAGTATCAGGAGTCACATTGATATTGGTGATATTTTCCTGACAAGTTCATCAAGTCTTGACAAAGTTCCAAACAAAATAAACCACAATCTTTCCTTGGTTTTATTAAATTGTTATATAGGAGGACCTTGCAAAATATAAGTTTTCTTTGTCTGTAGAGCAGAGTAGATTTCAAACTGATGTAATTATAACAATATTTTCTAATGCACAAATATCCATTGGGAGTCTGGGTGTAGGGAATGGAACATTTTTCTTTGCATAGGGCTGTTCCTATGGATGCAGGATGTGTTCATACTGTCTACTACATACTAAACATCCAGTAGTCCTCTTATCTTTGTGATAATAATAAATCCAACCACACACTTAAGAAATGCCCATCAATGATAGACTGGATAAAGAAAATGTGACACATATACACCATGGAATACTATGCATCCATAAAAAAGAATGAGTTCGTGTTCTTTGCAGGGACATGGATGAAGCTGGAAGCCATCGTTGTCAGTAAACTAACACAGGAACAGAAAACCAAACACCACATGTTCTCACTCATAAGTGGGAGTTGAACAATGAGAACACACGGACACAGGAAGGGGAATATCACACGCTGGGGCCTATTGGGGGTTGGAGGGCAAGAGGAGGGAGAGCATTAGAACAAATACCTAATGCATGCAGGGCTTAAAACCTAGATGATGGGTTGATAGGTGCAGAAAACCACCATGGTACATGTATTCCTAGGTAAGACAAATCTGCATGTTCTGCACATGTATCTCAGAACTTAAAGTAAAATAAGGAAAAAAAGAAAAGAAAACCCAGCAGCTATGAGCACACACAAAGCACAAGTTTTGGTAACTAAATACCATTTTTCCACTGAAGGGATCCCAGAACTCCTTAAACCTCCCAAGTTTTGGTCAAGGGTTGCATAAGATGAGTCTGGGACATCTTGTGGCAGAAACTAAGAAAATATTCAAAGATTATAGGGACATGTTAAAACGACCCAGAGGCTAGTTTGAAGAAGTTTCCTGTGGATGCATTTTAGACAATTTCATATTAAAAGTATAATTACCATAACTGAATAAAACATATTGAATATAAAATAAAAAAAGAAACACTCTTTAAAGGATGTTTTCATTTATTGAGACTCCACTCCTCCAA